AAGGAAAATGATAATGATGATGATGAAAATGATAATGGTAATAATGATGATGATGATAATAATAATGATGATAATAATAATGACAATGATGATAATAATGATGATGATGATGATTGATAATAGTAGTAGCAGTAGTAACGAGAACAAAAAAGCAACAATAAAAACAACGAAACAAAACATTTCATAAAAACTATATCAACGACAATAAAAATAATAACAACAAACGTGAATACTCTTATCAATGATCATAAAAATATATAATACTGATTTGCCATCACGATTACTTATCAGCTAGTAATTTGTAACAATAAATGAGACAGAATCATGAAGTTGTTCAATATATAAAATCGACAACAACAATTGAACCAAAAGACGACAATAATGATAATGATTCAGTGCAAATTAATCTGTTATTTCAAACTGCAATGCAATAAATAACGGTCTAATTAGTACCCTGTTTGAGGAATAATTAATTGTATAAATAAATATGTAAATAAATTAAAAATACTCCCTATAACAATGATATTAACAACAACAATAATAATGATAAATACAAGTACAAACACAGCAATGTGTAGAAATGGAAACAGCCAGGGCAAGCAATAATAAAAACAACAACAATAAGAAGAAGAAGAAAAACAAAAATAAGAACTACAAAAATAATAATAACAACAACAATAATAATTATAATAATAATAATAATAATAATAATAATAATAATAATAATAATAATAATAATAATAATAATAATGACAATAGTAATAATAAGACCAAAAAAAAGCAACAACAATAACAAAACAAATAAGAAACAAAAATAACATTTATTCATATTCATTTACGCATCACTCTTGCTAATATTCTTCCTGTTGTTAATGTTACCATCATATATTCCTTTTTATTGAAATCATATTCATAACACGTAAAAAAATAATCATTACTGTCACAGCAATGTGCTATCGTTATTATCACCGTTACTGTATCGTTAATATTATTACTGTAAGCGATGTTTTTATTATCCTGAAATTAAATCAACGTAGGCCTATCTTCTAAAAGTTAAATTCCATGAATTACTCAAAAAACTGTTACTGTTGTGGCGATGATACTGGTGATATTAAGCAATATCAAGCTTACAAACATTTAAGGAATGATTGAATATCAGCAAATGAATATTTCGTAAAATAAGTTATTGATACACTGATCAATCCAAACAAAAACACCAGGGATGATTCATATAAAAGAAACACGGTGAGCAATACTTCAACGCACAAAAAAAAACTTTTAAAAATTCCTATTACAAACAGCAAAGAGTCATTAGTTAGAATGAAAAAAATCAGCAATAAATACCGTAACAGTACATACAGAAAAAGGTACAAATGCACATACAAAGAATACAAAAAATCCACCGGCAATATCAAAAATGGCGGGAAAGTTAGGGAATTAAATATTTGGTTGGATCATTAACTAGACACTACTAAAGTACCCGTTATTCAATTCAAATCTATGCAACAGACTTTGCAAATCTATGCAACAGACTTTTCAAATCTATTGAACAGACTTACCTATGCGTTCATACGTAGCATTGGCCTTCGCTGCAAAACTAGCAGGATCCGAGGTCAGGTCAAGGTCACTGAGGGTGATGTTGTATTGCTGACACTTGCTATACACTTCTGCGCCGTCCTTGATTTCTCTGGGAGAAGAAAAATGTCGAAACAAATGGTTATTCTCAAACGCAGACGTTAAATTCGACGTTAAATTCGTTCATTTGCTTTTCGTCTGTCACCAAAGGTTTGAAGCAATAATCGTAAATAATGTGATTTTCTCTCATTAATTAGTAATTTGAAACTGCAGTCAAATGGGTTTGAGTGAGAAAGGAGAGAAGAGAGGGAGAAACGAGAGAGAGAGAGAGAGCGAGAGAGAGAGAGAGAGAGAGAGAGAGAGAGAGAAGAGAGAGAGAGAGAGAGAGAGAGAGAGAGAGAGAGAGAGAGAGAGAGAGAGAGAGAGAGAGAGAGATGATGATGATGATGATGATGATGATGATGATGATGATGATGATGATGATGATGATGATGATGATGATGATGATGATGATGATGATGATGATGATGATGATGATGATGACGATGATGATGATGATGATGATGATGATGATGATGATGATGCAGACTAACAAAGAAACGATGGACAAACAAAATAACCAACAGGGAGAACAATTCGTATAAGAAACTGTGCCAGATCCACAAACACATTCTTCTCACGCAGAATCCCCTTTCAACCAGACTCACAAAGATCCCCCCCACCCCCCACCCCCTATCATCCCCCATCAACCCCTTCAACCCCCTTCAATTGTAACTCAAGATGTCGGTCCTCTTTCACAACCGTATCTCGACCATGAGGGTATCCGACCCCCTAACAAAAGGGTTCAGGGATCCGACAGACGACAATTGCCTCCCATCATAGGACGATCTAAGACCATGGCATCTATGGCTGATCGTGACGTCAT